AAGTGACTAACTGATAGGAATTAAGCAAAGACCCGGACAGGTTGTTACATTGTTACAACGAATGGCAGATTTCAGTTGGTGCCAAACATGTTCAATTGGATTAAATATACAGCCTTAAAACTGTATGCCCTAAATTTTTTGCATAATTATCACAGACGTATTCCTTTTGTAGGTTCAAGCTTTGTAAAACCTCAATTAATTGCTTTTTGGTATAATCTTCGTGAAAATAAATGTCGTTATTATACATGTAGTTTTGGATTGTTGCTTTTGTGTCACATGAGGAAGGGGTTTTAGTCAACTGTTTGAAACTAGTTGGTTTTTAAACCAACATCCAAATAAATCAGCGGTGGTGTCTTCATGGTAATCCAGAGAAAAATATATAATATTTTTCGCAGACGGAGAAAGTCCATTTTGAATCCAACCATCTTTAGAACCAGCATGCAAAATAGTTATTCTTTTACCTCTTTTTGATGGCCCGTTTCTTTTACACTTATTAATTGAGTCAACCCAACCCTTTTCCGTGGTATCATAAGTATCGAACCAGGTTTCATCCAAGTAAATAATTGGCCTGTGTTGTTCTCTGTAAATCTTAATTTTTTCTAGATACTCCAGTCGTCATTTCCGAATTCTAGAAGATTCCATTAAAACTTGCCTTTTGTCAATTTTTTTAAATCTAAAACCCATGTGTGGAATACACTTCCATAATTCAAGTCTCCTAATTAGGATATATAATATAGGCACGCTTTGTTCCTCGTATAACTGGTAAATTTTACGTCGTATTATATTTTGATCACTTTCATCTACACACGAGAAAATGTCAGCATCGCTCCTTTTTTTCCTCTCTGAAATGGGATTATTCACAATTTTCCATACAGTTGATGTTGGAATTTCCGTCAATATGGCCGTTTCTTCTAAAGATGCTTGCTTGCTGGCACGACGTTCAATGAGAGTCAAATAAACATTGTTTATAACTTCCTTAGTCTAAATAGAATAGTGTTTTCTCCTGAAATACACTAGACTCGCACATATTTTGCATAATTCGCACACGATTCAACACACGCTGTATTACACACGAAATAAGAATAATTACTAATAAACTTAAACTAAGTAGTATACCAAACCAAAGAATATTAAAGACAGGTAGGTAAAAATAAAATTATATTCTATTATGGACCACAATTTTACCTGAATTTAAATTCCGAAACTTTAGGTAATAATCTTGTTGCATTGTATGTTAATGACCACCCTTGGATAATCCCATTCAAAATCATTTGGTCACTTTCTTATATCTATGAACAGACCATACTCAGCAATACAATGCACAATATGCAATATACAAGAATGCAATTACGAATGTTTACGAATCTTGTTTGAACGGAATGGAATGAAATAAATGAAAGCAGAAGGCTAAAAATTTAATATAATGTCAAGTAACAAATCATGACAAGAAAGGGAATCCTATTACGACCGCATCATACCTCGAATCAAGCAGAGGTTCAATGAAAGCGTGTTAAATAATAACGGAGAATCTACGATCGATCTACGCACGTTCCATGAGCTGCGAATCAACAACATATTTTATAACCACAGATAAATATAAAATAAGTATAAATTCACACTGGAGGTCACAGATCTACAATTGACTACATCGTTACCAACAGATAGATCCACCCACTGGACGTCACAACACTTGACTGCCAACTTAGGAAGCAATCACTGCTTGCTAGTTATAATTATTAAGATAAAACTGAAACCTCAAATCAGGGCAAAGGAAACCTGGTTCAATTATTTAACTGGGTTCGGAAACTTGGAGGAAAGATTCAACGTGGTAAAATAATGGTAGTAAGTCATGCAATAAAAATTCAAAATCGTAATATTTTCCGAGTTTAATTTTTATTTTTAACGCAGTAGGCTGAATTCTCAACGGTATTTTGCACACAGAACATTTTTTTTAATTTCCCTGTATTTTATTTAATTAGACTGATATTGCAAAATAGAACAGATTGCCTTAAGCAGAATCACAAATTGTCAAAAATTGTTACTCTTGTTTTAAGTCAATAAGTGTCATCGTTTAGCCACAAATCGATTGTTTATTCTCGGCTCGAATTTTTGCCTGTCCATATGATTTTACCTAACAGGATTTAAATTTAAAAAAGTCATTGTATTAATGCGTCAATGTTTCCATTAAAAGAACTTAATATCTAACTGCTACTGTGACCCATCAGGAATATTCAAATACTAAATATAGCGATATGCATTTTTGCTACGGAAGAGTAAATGGAAACGCACAGCACAAGGGCTTCTGCGTATATTGATGCATTTCTGCATGATGAAAGAGGATCATTCAAACCTGAATAATGGGAGACCAAAGTTTAAAAGAACCGCTGAGTGTAATTTTATACAATCAAATTATAGGAAAAATTCAAAATTGATCGCACTTCTTAAATGTCGAAAAATTTTCGAAATATGCGTCAGTGGAACATTGACAACCCACATGCAAAAATTGAAGGAAAACATCAGCGCCGGCTTTCTTTAAATGTATGGGTAAGGATTACAGGAGATAATCTTATAGGTCCTCATTCCTTTAATGTATCGCTTAATGGTGAAATATATTTGCAATTTCTCCAAGAGGAACTACCACCTTTGCTGGAAGAGGTACCCTTGCAATGGAGACAAAACATGTGGTTAATGCAAGATGACGCTTCACCCCACTTTACATTGGCTGTATGAAGGTGTTAGCTTGGCTGAGCTAGGCTTTAGTGTATTAAACTTATAACAGATATCAATGATCTACGACAAAAAAATTAAAAACGATTACGAAATAATTAGAAAGGGGCTAAGCGTATTTTTTCCTGTTCCTGAATTGTCCCAAGTGGCTCGCGACCGTGAGTAACAAAGCTTTTATAAAGTGACTTTATAATCTAAGAAAGTGGGGGAAGTAGAAAATAAATATTTAACTACAATATTATTATATAGTCAAACTATATCCTTGGTCTGACCATAAAAAAATACGCTTGTCGTCATCCCTTTAATAATTGGGAAAAGTCATTAGATTTCAGATAAAAATATGAAAATATATTATTTGCATATATCGCGAATCAAACAAATAATAAACACATTATTTATTAATTTCCATATTGCTCTAGACTTTATACCCGAAGTTTTTGCAAAATTATCACACAGTTGCTATTAATTGCTTGAAAGTTTATTTATTATTTGAAAATAAAAAATAACCATTGCAATATGGAATAGCGTTTTCAGCTCAACTACACGATAATTATCTACTGATCATCAGCTGATGGTAAAAACCGTTGTCAATCAAACAAATTACTTACCTAGTACATATTCAGTAACTAATTGGATTTTACTAAATCTCGCATTACAATCAGGAAATAGTTAATATCATAATAACATAACATATCACCACCGTTTAATCTATTTTATTTGTTTCCTTAACTCTATAGACAACGGAATGCAAAGTTTTGTCCATGGAAAACAAAACTAAAATTTGGTAAGATTTCTTATCTCTGACTGCACAGAACGGTTATAGTTGGTTCTTCGGAGCTAAGACGTACGTTTTTGAAAATAAATTCTCGTGATCCGGTCGCTTGTATCTGGATTTGTTAATACAATTGGAAAGTCAAGATGAAATATCTGTAGGTAACTTCAAAACTATCAACGGGATAACTAATGTTATTAATTAGATACGTCGGTGGCCAAGCGGTTTAGGCGACAGTCTTGATACCGGAGTTGCGGGTTCAAATCCCATGGCATGGTACGAATGTGGATGTGTCGTTCCGACAAATTGCTTTAAGACCAAATTCAAAATTAAGAGAATTAATGAATGAATGAACGATATTAATTAGTGAATTGACTATACAACCAACAGCAAAAGCGCTACTTATGGTAAAGTTATAAATAAGAGGTCTCTAATGGTACTGCTCTAACAGAGCCACCCAAGTGTAATGAAAAAAAAACAAAAACAACCAGGCAAATGTATTCCTATCACTACATACTAACTTAACTTAAATGAATATGCCCAGATTTGAATGAAATACATAAATATATACCACGAAATAAACTATCAATGGAATGAGAAAGTATTACTATATCACTAGCTTGTCCATCTTCAAACTTTTAAATTGGTTACAAATTCCTTTATTAAAGATATTTCGTCAAATAGTTCATCCTCATTTATTAATGTTTCATTATACAATAAAATAGTTTTTGTTGCGCGTTGAATTTCTGAGTAATATGTTGTTTTGTGAGAGGTATTCCTCGACCGTCAAGTAAAACTCAAATATAGTTGTTTCTATGGAATTACGATTTGTACTTAATTCATCTGTCTAGAGCATATTTTTTAAAATAAGAGGAATGAAGCACTCCTCTTCTAGCTTTTATTGAGTTCTCTATAATTTTTAGACATTCTACTGCCGATATTTCCTTACCTTATATAAGTAACCTTGTTTTACGGTAAAGTGCAGGCATTATGCATAAATGAAAGCCAGAACTATGTTCCGGAAAAGTTTTTAATTATTATAAGGCATTTCGGTATTGACAAAAAGTACGGCTTAAGAGCGGAAAATAATTGGGAGATAAAATATAACTATATTGAAAAATTCTGAACAATCCAACATCAGTAAATTTTCCAGGACATTGTCAGAAAACCTGAACCTGTAACAACCAATCCTGTACGGTTAATCAGCTTGTCTTTTGTGATATTTTAGTATTTTGGGTGATTAAATATAAGTTCGATTTAAACATATATCAGTTTGATTTCATGTATATTTATGAATCACCCTGTGCATTTGAAAATAATTTTAAATTATTTCTTTTAGTCTCAGCTATAACTTTTGTATTTAAAATTTTCCTCTAAAGCCAATAATAAACGAGATCTATTATTTGGACACCCTGTATATTATATCTTGTAGTTTTTCGATCATTCGCGAAAATCCATGCTGGGAACGAACAAAATAAAAGTGTGTTAGATTAAAGTATTTATTGAAATAAAATATGTTTTAAATGCTCAATTGTATAAACTATCTCCTTATGACAACTCAACCGTGCGTTTGGTCATCCTCGACAAAATCTCTGGCCACTTCTCTGGTGACGCACTCGACGTGACTCACTTTATTCCTGAACTTAACTCCGTAGAACTTGTGGGCGTGCTCTAACAGCTCGGGCCTAAATGTCGTCGTTATAAACTGAGCCTCGCTCGATAATTCGTGAATCATATTCGCCACCGCTTTCCTATGCTGCGCGTCCAAGGCCTGGTCGATTTCATCAAACAAATAAAACGGAGCGGGATCACATTTTTGGATCGCAAAGATCAACCCCAAAGCCACCAATGACTTTTGTCCTCCCGATAGTTGATTCATTTCCTTCATTTCGACGTCGGCGTCCGTGAATGATATTCTGACACCGATACCCGTAAAAATGTCGGCGTTTGTGTCTTCGGGGGTTATATCGCGTCCTTCTTCGTTGTCGACGGTTCTCAGAACCAACTTCGCTTTACCGGCAGGCACTAGCTTCTTAAAAACCTCTGTAAAGTATCTCGACACCTGCTTGAACGTAAACTGGATTGCCTCCATTTTTCTCGTCTCTAATACTTCAATGAGTTCTTTTATTCTCGCACCCCTTAAAGAATGACATTTGAAATAGAAAATCCATATAGCTATATAGAGATATAGAGGCTATGAATGTGCCTATAATGCAGGCCTTTTGAAGCAACCATGAAAAAAATGTTAATGTCCATTCAACACACATTTGCGTGAGATTTAAAACCTCGTTTTTTAACCAATGACCTTACAGCCAGAATAAACAAACTACACCTAATATCAATTCTACCACGAAGCTCTGGTCGTCATCGATAACGCGAAGGCTTGGCAGAACATTAAAGAATAGATAAAGTCAGAGAATCATCAAAAGAAAAATCGCAAATTAAGAAAAAACACTGGATTAGTGCTGATACCCCGCAGCTCGTCGACCAACCGAGGCAATTAAAGATGGCGTCTAAGGAGAACCAGGATACAATTAAACAAGAAGATCAAAGCAACAACCACGCGAGATAAAAATGAACACATAGTAGGGGTCTGTACAGAACTAGAAGAACACTCCAACAAACATGAGTGTCGCGAATTGATTAATAATGTAAGATATCTCTGCAAGTAGTAACAAACGAGGAAGCAGAAACCATAAATAACGTTAAGAACTATTACCAGAAGAAATAAATACCGCGCAGGAGCCGGGTATACTAAGATCGGAAGTTGAAAATGTCATAAAACTCCGAAACAAAAAATCACCAGGTGCGGATCAAAACTTGAATACGCCTTGGTTGTGTGGAATCCGATTTACTCTTGTCATAGTTGAGCGGTCGATGGTGTACAGAAAAAGTTTGCGAAGTATCTGTTGTTCAAAACAGAAGGCGCGTATCCACCGAGAGGCATAAACTACGAATTTTTCTTGGAAAAATTTAACATGAATGGCCTGGAATGTAGGCGGAAGTGTGTGTCAGTTATGTTTGTTTATAAATTGCTACACATCAGAATAGATAGTCCGAATCTACTAGAGTATTTAGATATTCGTGTACCACGACTCAATTCGCGCACCAAAGACACCTTTCATTGTGTTCGCATATTCGCATATAAATACAGCATGTTCCAATTATAATTGTGTTTCGGATGTGTGTGACATATTTAACTGTGGACTGAGGGAATTGAGAAATATATGTTTGATGTCTAGTCGTCGCTAGCCCGAATCAAGATCTATGGTTATTCTAATTTCTTTGGAGCTCACTTTGTCAACCTGCTCGAACTACTCACTAGAATAGGTTAGGTTACATATTACATACTGTTTCTTTTTTTTGTTACTATACATTGCTTTGTAAATGGATTGTTTCCTGTTGAGCATAGAAATATTTCAAAAAATCTGTAACCTGCATATCATCAATAACCGTCTTAAATAATTTCTTTTACCACAGTTTTCAGAGGAGCAAGCAGAATTTGTACCAGGAAAAGTAACTATTGAAAAGGTTATAGAATTTAATAATAATAAATAATCAAAAAGTGTTTGATAAAGTAAACTGGAGCTACCTAATTATCAACACTGGGAAATGTGAGACAGAAAAACGCCGTCGTGTTACCATGGCAAGAGTACCACCAAGCTAAACAAAATATAGATGGACAAATCTTTCACTAAAACAGCGAAACTCTGTCTAGTTGATGCTCTAATCTTTCCATTGCGACGTACGTAGCGGAAACATGAAGTTTAAACAAAACAAATAAAAACCGATTATAGACGACTCTTACGAGTCTCGTAGTCAGAGCATCGAACCAATATATTCGTGTTACAAAAAAATTGGTCCGCGTACAGTGCTTCTAACCAAAATAAACCGCATGTATCTGCAGCACCCGGGACATATAATTTAGAAGATCAGGAACAATGGAACAACTAATCACAGAAGCGAAAGTAGAAGGCAAACGCCCAAGAGGCAGATCTCCCACTAGATAGATAGACCAAACAAAACCCTTAATAAATATAAGACTGCATGATGTCCGAAGGATTACACAAGATAGGCAAGCATGGAATCAGCTGCTGAATCAAATATAAATGGTGTCACCACAACCTTTGGAAAGGAAAATCGAAAGAGGAGAAGGAGGATGCATTGTATGCAACTTTGTTATTATAAAAAAAATAAATCGAAATAATAATAAATTAACAAGAACAATTAAAAAATGACCAAGTTAGGTGGCAAAAAACTAAAAAAAATAATTGACAAATTTACATAAAGTCGAAATGTGACGTTACTATAATTCTTACAATTGTTTTTTCGCCATGTTTTACCGTCATTGTCATAGCCAACGAATGGCAAAACATAAAACCCGTATCGCATTTTTAAAAGTGTCAAATACGATAAAATGGGATGTTTCCACCACAAATGACAATGATTTTTTTATTTCAATTCTTAATGTAAATTTTTTACCACTCCGTATTTATTTTTTAAACTTTTATCACAGACCTCTAAACAAGACAACCTTCAATATCTGAAGCGCGATAAAACGTTGCATCATCAGCTAATAGAACTGTGTTAACTTTGTTCCTCTGAGAATAGGCCAAATTATTTACATAGATAAGGAATTAAATGGGGCACAATACTGAACCATGAGGTACCCCGTACTTGACATGTCTTGATGGTTTTTTAATCAGATCCCTTACCCCCTATCCAGTTCTTCTTTCCTCTTCTGCAATTTTTCTTTCTGATCCGAGAAGCTCATAAACTGATCGAGAGCTTTTTTGTTGACATGACTGAACTTCTTGAGTTGGTTGTTGGTTTTTTCAAGCTCTTTAAATAACTGAAAGCAAAATGTAAATTTCGTCGACTTTTTAAAATTTGCGCCTTACAGCTCTGGAAGACATTTTCATGTAATGACTGTACAGATCTTGAGCGGGCAACGCTCCAAGCTGGTTAATCTTTTCCAAACTTTCTTGAATTTTCTTTTCAAAAACGTTCTGCTTGGAAGCGAACCGTTCCAAATGTTTGGCATCTTCGTCAATCTTGTCTTGAGCGTCCTTTTCAGTTTTCTTCCAGTTGTCCAATTCGATTTGCTCTTGTTTAAGCTAAATCGACACATTAAAATAAATTGAAAAATTCATCTATTCTCTCAGACAATGGCGTTAATTATAGGTAAAACACGAAACCCACGACCAATGTGATCATCAGATCTATAAAAATGTCAGAAATCTTACCATATAAAAAGAAAGCCCACCAATTAATATAATGATGCACAAATCACGTACAGTGAATATATGAAAATATGAAAAAAAATTATTTAAAAATCAGGTATTGGATTTTGGAATCGTTTTTTGTTGCGCATTTTGTGCAATACATAGCAAATATATCGAGTGGCTCAAAAAGTAGATGGCGATACAAAGTTCCTTAAATAAAACACCATTAAAAAAAAAAAATTAGAATTCTGTGTCAAATTTCCCGCATAATTGCATATGTTAAATACCTTATACCTCATATACCTACCGCCAGATGTCTCATTGAAAACTTAGGCCATGGAGTTTAGGAAGCCCTGTACATGTTATAAGATTTTTTGTATTTGGTCAGCATTCTTTTTAGATAGCAAGATTTCAGGTCTGTATCTAACTTGTTTGTAGGTATAATGAAGCCATTTTAGGTGAAACATGTGACTTGTTTTCTTGAGCGAAATTATCTGTGCTCGTATAAAAAATTTATATCTCGGTAACGGTAGGTCCTATCAAATTTGCAGCTATCGACTTCAAAATTAGCAGAGAAGTAAAAGTCCATACCCACGTATAATCTGTAGACACTGGGAGCAAACAAGTGTCGCTAAGTATTAAAAAAAAATGTTTTTGGTTATTTTGGCTTCCTGAAAAAAAAATGTTTTTTCGAAAATTATTCACCCGATGGGCAAAATTATTTAACCAAGAGACGCGGAAGATCCGTTAATATAACTTTTATTTCAACCATGTTTCGGTTACATACAGGGTTTTTCAATTATAGACAAAATCTAAAAGACTGTAAGTTATATAAAAATCAAGAGCTACAATTTTTGTATTTACGGTTTTCGTCTATCTATTTGAAAAAATACATACGAAAATCGCTATCGTGCTAAGTCTAGTTCCAGAAAAAAAATATTTTATCGAAAATCATGTACTTTATTGGAAAAATTCATGGGCCAGAAAAGTTGGGGGATCGAGGGCTATAACCTCAACTTTGCACATTTTTTTAAGGGTGTGGCGTTTAGTGGCAAAAAATCTAAAATATCCTGAAAATTTCCGTTTTGTATGAATTATTGGCCGTAAATGAAAAACGGCAAAAATTATCGCAAACTATGTCGAGAGCTACAATTTTCTATTTACACTTTTCGTCCATCGTACAGGATGCGCGAGATATCTGAACAAGTATTGGGAATGGCGAGTACAATTTTTTATATTTTATATTTATTTTATTTATGCCATGGTTTTTAATTAAGCCGAAACGTAAAGGACACTTTATACAGAGTGTATACACAAAACTTACCTTTTTGGTCATATCCTTTACTTTGCTCTCCATAGAACTTAACTCCTTATTGACTTTCTCAATTTTTTTATCGATTTCGTCCATTTCCGTTTTGCAGTTGGAAAGCTGCCTTTTCCGGTCCTCCAACGAAATCTCCTGCAACGCGTGCAACACCTCGTCGCGCCTCCGTATTAAATTGTTCGTTAGCAAATTTTCCAGTTTGTTTTTTTCGGCTTCCAACTTCATGCGAGTACTGAACGCCTCCTTGTTCTCCTTTTGGAGTCTTTGAATGTCGTCATTTAACGAATCGACTTGCTGCTGATCGGCAACGGAAAGTTGAGCGAGCAACTCCTGATGCAACTCCGACTCCAAGCCTTCCTTGGTCGTTTGCATGGCCTCCAAACTCGCTTTACATTGGGCCAATGAACGTTCCTTGGGCCCCCTGAACTTTTCTATGTTCGATAGTTCTTCGCGCATCAGTCGCACTTCGCCTTTGATGCGTTCGTGGATCGCTTTAGCTTTCGTGTTTTTGTTTTCGATTTTTTGCATATCGGACACGATGGTGTTTATGGAAGCTTCGGTTTTTTGGAGTTCCGCGCGCAAAGATTTCAGTTCTTGTTCGCACTGTTGGATCTGAGTGATGGTTTCTGCGCGATTTTTTTGCATTTCCAATCGGGAGCGTGATGTATTGAAATAACCGCCTAGCAAAATTTTTCAAATATTTAATGTGGCAATAGTAGGCAATATGAAGCATACTGTATCAATGACATTATATCTAAAGCAAACCCGATAAACCATAAAGCCCGGAAGACATGTATTTTTTCATATAAATGTTATATAATACCCAACCCAACAAGGACTTTCAAATTCTAATAAATTATATGCGCTAAGTGTGAAAGCACAGGGCAAGATAAATCCTACCTAAACCTTGTAAACTATTTCAAAGCATTTATTTTTCACCAAAACTTCAAACCTTTTTATTTTTTACTTAAACCGATTGCAACACTGACAGCGTACTCCGCCTACGAATATTAAATTAACGACGCTAGTTTATCCTGTCGTCACAGTGCGACACAATTTTTTTTTTAACAGTTCAAGACTGGTTCAACAAAAACCCGAATGTGTTAATTTTGACTTTCAAAATCCTGATGGTTCAAGAACTGGGACTGCCCTGCGAATAAACCTTATGCAAAGAAGTTCAAAACATCATCAAAGCAAAAATAAACTTTGATTGATACTATAGGCCCGAAAAAAAGTTGTTAACAAAACAGGCCCTATTTCAGTTAAATTTACCAGTCGCCGGGTAAGGAAAAAAGTATTTACGCTAAATAGAAATCTTAAGGAAAACAGAAATCGTAGTAATACCGAGTGATTAATACAAGAAAATATGGTTTTGCTCAAAAATAATCATGCTAAAGTGGGTGCTACACAGTGCTGGACTTGGTGGGTAAGATTTACCGAGTAATTTAATTGGTAGTGTCTAAATATTTTTGTAATTAAATATTCTTTCTAGCCAAATGTGGTAACGCACGCCGTCTGTATCTACAGTTAAGAAGAAGCACCGTTGACGCATATTGCTTGTGCCATTACGGTTAGGACTTCTTCCTTGAATAATACATCTACCAGAAGAATTCTTCCCGATACAGGAACGAGACTACACTAACCAATTGCTCACAGTGACTTTTCAAGTTATCCGTTAGTTGTAATCCCGTCTTGTTAAGTTCAAATTTGGAAAAACTTTCTAAAGAAATTCAGTAATAGAGTTAGAAAATATCACTTATCCTAGAATTAAAGTTAAAACGACGCTAGTACTTGAAGTATTTCATCTATTGTAAATATTGCAAACATTTATTCACATCTCCCTACCTTATTAGGAATACGAGAAGAAATAAATTCAACACTCAGACTTTTAATTTGAATTTGAATTTAATATGAAAATTAAAAAGTCCATGACATTCCCTAACCACCAATAAACCAATCGTATTAATTTACATAGTTAATTACATATCGGGCAAGAAAAATCTGGATGGAAAAATATTCAAGATACAAATGTAGCATCGATGTGGCTTTTAATTTATTGCGTGAAAGTTTCGTCTCCCAAATGTTATTATAAAAATGGGAATGGACAATTTATTAAAAAATTGTACCGGGTGTCTCAGTAAGGGCAAGGAGGTAGGGTATTATGGAAACTGGCGGACCTATAAATAAAAAAAAAACTCTATAGGTCCAGTGTCTGAAATAGCCACCAGGGGGAGTAATTTGTTATCTTTAATAGTCAAACTTGGTTTGCACAAAAATGTCATTCCTATTAGTTATGAGCCACCAAGTGGAGTTTTTGTTAGTTTTGTAAAAAGAAAAAGAAATCAGACTGTGGATTTTACTTGAAGAAAATCCATTTAACACAAATTAAATTAGAAAAAAAAATGTTCAGATTTTCAGTTTTTAATGCTTTATGACACATGTTGCCGAAACAGCATTAAAAACTGTGAAATCTGAAATCTTTTGTTCTAATTTAATTTGAGAAAAATAAAGACAGATATTCAAAAATGCCACAGGGAAGGGGGCAATTTTTCGCAAATTTAATTTTATATATCACAAGAAACTTTGTTTTTAAATGGTTTTATTGTTATTTACGAAATCGTTAAAATCATTTAATCATATTGTTCATAAATTATATTCTAAATTATTGATTAAATTATTCATTATTTTCGTTTTTTGTCCCGGAAAAACTGTTCATTTTGGGTATAGGGTATTTTGCATAAAAAAAACTTTAACAGCAATCCTAAAATGGAATAAAAACATACCCTTCCCATTTAAAGTAAGAAAGTTTGGTAGCTTAGGGAAAACCATGAACCATAAAAATATTTAAAAATAATTAACATTTTCTCATAGCTTTTGAAACAAACGAAATAATGAATTTTAACCTATCGTTCACTCACCCTGTACAACCAGTGCAAATATAAACTGGCCTTCTAGGTCGCCAAACCTCTCACTATTAAATTGCTTGCAAAAAAGTGCCAATAGGGTCCTTGCAGATATTTTTTTATTGAATGAAGATACTTAACAAAACGAGGAGTGAAATATTAACGTCCTAATCAATCATTAAAATTTGAAAAAACTGAAGGATTTCCCGCTAAAAACGTAATGTGGACACTTCAGCTCTCGGTGACGTCACGAGGTCCGTTTTCGTATTATAAACTTAACGTTTTTTCGTAAGTTTTAAGTCATTTTTAAGTTGAAAATTGTTTATCGTTATTGCATCGTGACAGGTTATAAAACTACAACTAAAACTATACAGCCATTAAAGACGAACCTGCCGAAATTTCGTTAAAATGCCATGTTTACGTTTTGTGAAGACGATTTTAACGTAAGTATTTTATTTATTGATTTATTCAAAAATTGAAGGTAATTTGAAAAGTTTTTTCCAATTCAATTAAAGAACAATAAACAGTAGCTTAACATCACTTTTTGTTTGTTATTGTATTTAAGTTGCTTATTTAAATGTCGATTTAATCCTTATTAGCACGAAAGAAAGAGTTTCCTGAGGCCAAGCGACACAAGCAAGAAAAATTATTCAAAAATCATTGGTGAATACCTGTCAATGATCCTTTGGATGAAACCTGATCTCCATCGAGTGTAACACAATCGAGTCCAGTACTTCTCGCCAGTTTTGTGGCAGCATCTAAATGGCGACAGATGAGCGTCTTTCCAAATAAATAACGCATTGCTTTATCATACTTTGGATCATAGTTAAGCTTAGATACCATTGCGATTGCATCCTGTTTTAAAGACATTTTAAACAGAGAGATTAATATTTCACATTTTTATTATATATCAACTTACAGAATCATTGGGGTAGTCAATTTCCCTGACGTTCAATCGATCCAAAGGCATGAAAGTGACCTCGCCAGGCAACTTTTGCCTGTTCATCTCTTTCAAAATCTGCGTACCCACTCTTTCAGAGTCGACCACGTGGTGGAACAATCGATTGCCAGCGGTAACTTCTACCGCAATATAAATACTTTTCTCACATTCAAAATTTTCAATGACAGGTCCATAGTAGGATTTTGCAATATCGGCCTCTCGACCGCCGCGGGAAATAAAAGTGTCTAAAACTTTCCTTACACTGTCTCGGCCATTTAAAATCGGTTTGCCAACCATTGAACGCAACTGCTGATCAGCTTTGGCCAGGTCTTCCTTTAAAGAAGACAAGTTTTGTTGAACGTTATTTTCCTTACGCCAAAGCTCGCTTCAAAAACAATAAAACATTAAACAATTAACACAATAACAGGAACTGCTTACTTTCTGGTATTTTGAAATTGTTCTTTATTCTTTTTTGACTCATAAAATTGCTTGTTGTAGTCAGCAATATAATTCTTTTGCCGCTCTGACTCTTGCGACTGTTCTTCAATCTTTTTTTGCAGATCTACAGTTTTTTGAGCATCCCTCTTCAAATCTGCTTCCAATTTGTCCCTATGATCTTTTTTATCTTTTAGTTGCTTGTTTAAAGATTTCAATTCGCTTTCTATCCACTTGTCACGGTCATCCTTTGAAGTAAATTGGCTCCCTCTACCCTGTTTTGCGTACAACTCTTTCCTTTTTTGTTCCTTCAATGATAATTCTCGTGTACATTCCTCCTCTCTGCCTTTCATTTCCTCATACAATGGTTTGATTTTTTCCAATTCAGCTTCCTTCTCCTTAATAGATTGAGTAAGCCGAGCAAGTTCATTTTCAGCTCGTTCTTTGGATTTATTATCTCCTTGTACCTGGCAACCAGCAAAATTACCATGGCTTTCTCAAGTGGCAAGTAAGACTGGCAAAACATGGTATTACAAGAAGTTTAAATACACTAAAAGTGAAGAAAACTGGAAAGAATATAAAAGGAAAAGAAACAACATTATCTCAGTACTCAGAAATAAAAAACAGAAATACTATCACCACAACATTGTTGATTGCAAGAGAAATGGCAGAAAAATATGGCAGACATTAAAAGGGTTTGTTGAAAATATATACAAAATACACCAAAATGCAAATTTTATAAATATTGATTTTGCGAATTATATGCGTCTTTAGAGTACCAGAAAAATATCTGATAAACTAAAAAGTATCATAGATTGAAAACGCCAGGTGATTTTTGACCAATCTCACTTGTTACCTGTAGTGGGTGAAATCTTGGACAAGATAATATGGTGATAGCTGTGATCCTGATCTGCTCTATGGTGAACAATCTGGCTTCAGTTTGACGGAAAAACATGAACAAATCAAAACTAACTGTGAGGGTTTTTGAAATTTAAAATATACATTCAAGACTCTTGACAGACATTCTTGTTACAACAAATGCAGTGTGCTGCAGGGAATCCTGTTCGGTCCGCTTTTATTTATTATTTTTGTTTTGCTAATTTATTTGCTGATGAGATCCTTATTTCACTCTCTTCAATGGATTGTCAAATAATAGGTACTAAACTGAATATCAAAAAATATACTAAAATAAACTAAAATTCAACAGCTCAAAAACCAAATGCATGGTTATCGGTTCTAAAAGTAACTATCAAACATTCTATAACTCGGAGTAGTCGATAGATGTACAGGGTGATAAAAATGAATTTATTTCTGAAACTAAATACTTCAGAGTAACATTAGATCTGCAGTTATATTTTAGTAATCATGAACAAAATATGTATGCAAAAAGATTATTAAGAAAATAGTGATTTCTAACAGTGTATCTCGGATTTTATTGTAACAGACTAAGATATTAGTGCATAATATCATAATTCTGTCTCATTTATCAATATGTTTTTTACTAATGAAAATTGAAACAGGTTAAAAATACTACAAAAATAGGGTTATGCTAATTATATTAAGCTGTGATAGATTTACTCTTATAAAGGGCATATTCAATTCAGTTCAATAGAAGAGGAAATACAAATTTGGATTGGGTACATTAAATTTCCACAAAAAACTACCATCTAACAAAAACAAAATCTATTCTCATCCATCATGCTAATGAAATGCTGGATAATATTAAAAATGCACCTTACCTAAAAATAATAAAAAAAGACTTGCAATGTATTTGAGTAATTCATAGTATGATTATGTAAATAGCCAGGCACTACAAACAAATATATACATACCTCTTCTGATAAATCTTTAATCATAAGGTCCATTTTAGTTTTTTCTTTGATTAGATGCTGATGATCATTATTTAAAATATCCCGTTCTTCCTTGAGACTTGCTAGCTCCTTCTTCATTTCTTTTGTCTTCTTTGTGAGGTTTTTTATATGATCCTGGGCTTTCTTGAGGTTAGCAGCTAATTGTTTCTGTTCAGATCCAGATTCATCCCTCAGTTTTTCTAACTAGAAAACATTTAAATTTAAACTAGGAATTTGTTTTTCATAAATATGATGAGATTTACATCTGCTAATTTTTTCTTATATTCATTTAGTTCAACCTCATGGATGATATATTCCAAAGTTCTCCTAATTTTGTCATGGTTCTGGTATTGCCTCAATTCTTCCTTTTCCTCTTCCAATGTTCCAAGTCTGTCTTCAATAGTACGGAGAAAATCTTTAATTTTGTCTATTTTACCTTCTGTCTCTTTCAAAATAACCATTGATTCTGAATGTCTCTCATCATACACTCTTGTGCCGGCAACCTCCCTGAGCAATTTTAGTCTATGAGAATCTGGAGCAGTTGCCATTTGATTAATCTAAAATATAAGCATTAGGGCAGCTTTACAAATGTTGTGGCAATTTTTCTTGTAACCACACGCACAGGGAAGTTCTGACTGCAATTTATTTGTGGCAACTGAGATATAGTTCAAAACTAATATTAATAAGTTCATTGTAATGGGACAACTGGGATCCAACTTAACTTACTTTTCCTTGTTTTACAATATAATAAGGATTCGAACTTGAAAAGCCTGCAGATTCGAGCAAATTCATTACTTCGCTTCTAGGGACTACTTTTTTGTTCAAGAAATATTGATCTTTTTTAGCACCAATAACCCTTCTTAAGTATATTTCTTCATGTTCAATCTAAAAGTGAATTTTGGGAAAATAACGATGAATTTTATCTAACTACACTGATCAAACCGGAACACGGGCATCAGAATTGTCAAATATAATTTCCACATATGCTGAAACTACTCGGGGGCCTGTTCCTTCATGTAGCAAAGAATGTCGTTCTTCTGGTTTTAGATGAGAAAACTCATCACTAAGAACAAATTGTATAGCTGAAATATTAACACTTTTATCAACCGATACACTTCACCAATTTTTCACTTCCTACCGTAAAAAAAATTGCTTTTCCCGGAGCCGTTTCGTCCAACAACAACATTATGCCTTTTATCAAATGGTTCAACAACGGTCTGATCTCGATAACTTTTGAAGCCTTGTATAATAACCTGCAATAAAACGTATTTAATATTCCGGCTGGTCATGTAAGAATGCACTGACCTGTTTGATATACATGTTATTTTTCGTATTTAAACAACACCAAATCAAAACCTATTATTGACTATTATGCCCGCCATTTCTAGCAAAGCACAGACCACTAATATATTCTGTGTAGTAAACTAAACAAAACCAGAGACCAGCAACAAAGAATTTAAGATTCCGTTTAAAAAGGGTTAACCAATACCAATTCGCTATAGGTTCGCAATTATAGCGTCTTCGTGACTAATTAATTTCAACAGAGATCATCCCAAAACTATATTAGAGTTGTGCTTACAAATGCAAATAGAAAAGGTTGATACTGTGCAGAGGCTATTTCTCGGATGGGTACCTCACAAGTCTGAAAGTTTGATTTTCTGAGGGTACAAATGAACTAATATATTCATACAAAAAATTTGGTATTGTCAATCAATGAATCAAATTTATTACATCTAAATTTCAAGTTGCAAAAATTAACTCTAATGTGCGATTGGGAAAATGCATTATTATCTTATAGCCATATGAAAACAATGCATACACCGCAGATGATGGTTTTCTTGGTTAGTTCCCACTTGGTGAATTATACCGGAAACCTTATCTGTTGTATAAAATAATAAAAGCATTACACCCCGGTATGGATGAGAACTGTCGATACTTTTGCGCATTAGCTCCTTTCGAATTCGATCCGCAAAAGGATCGAGTCCAAGGGATTCATTTCTTCCTGGGAACGATACCACTATACTGACTAATTTAATGCTGATTAGCTGCCTCGTGCCTCCCATTTGTTTTTTCGATGTTAGGTCCTCAGAACGACTATGACTGAATTTTTGGATTCTATCTGACTCGATCCAACCTAGGGCTCATTCATTTGTATTGAGTTCACTCGGATCTACCTATTACTAAACAACGGTGATAAAGCCAGTTCAGCCCGAGCAGAAACCGTTTACCATTTTGATGCTGTTTTTTGGATAGTTTTGGTTAGTTTTTTCAATGCAGCAAACTTCATTTAAAATGCGAACTTATATTACAGGATAATGTACTACTACCAAAATCTTTGGATTGAGATGTAGTATCTACTGGATCTTGCTTGCTCAGCTTATGCTAGATTATAGTACACAGCTCAGTACAGTAAAGTAGGAGTTAATAGTATATTAGCGGTTTAATTCTGTCAGTTTCACGTGAAAGAGTGAGATGGCCGTAAGCTAGTCAACTCAAAGGTAGTTTTATGCTATTTTTGTATAGAAGGATCGCATTTTGAAGCTGTTTTTTTTTAATGCCATAAATTTAGGCCGAATGGCAAATTTCTATTAGATAACCATCTTGGATGGTAAACGACGCAATAAAGAATATTACCATAAAGTCAACTGCAGCACTGGAAAAAGCTTTTTATAAACCTTATTACTTAAAAAAAAATTATAAATGAAAGATCACTCAGTGTTATGTATGGTAATAAATAAAATTATACTATTATATAAATTAACGTCATTGCCTAATTTGTTGTAATTGCTGGATTTTCAGGGGTTTTTGTGTTAATGCATTATTTCAAATGTTTTTGTCCTTCTATCAAAATGAATGTGAGGTATCATTTGAAAAACAAATTGTTGAGCCACTATTCAAAATGATTTGGCCTACCCCTGAATACAGATAAATGCTTCCCAACATCGTTTTCAAATGTAACTGGTACCTATAACTTTAATTAATTCATTAAATTTAATAATTACCATCCGCCTAAGGTTATTAAGATTTGACGTTTTAAAGACTTGGGTATAATGTTTAATACAAAACTGTCCTTTAGAAACAATTTTGATCAAGTCCGTGGAGATGCACTAAAAATGTTGGGTTTCATAGCGAGAACTTCTAGAGATTTTGCAAGTGAACACACCTTAAAATTGTTATACTGCAGGGTGGGCACTCTACTAGGGGCTTGTGCCTTTTCTCAGGAACTACTGATTTTAGAAAAAAAAAAGTCTACATAAAGTTTTATGGTTTCAATTAAATTTTAAAATTATTTATTTTTTATAGGATGTGAGATAAGCGCTGGACTGACACTAATTTTAACATTTTAAAGGGAACACCCTATATATTTTGATATTTTTAGCAGCCTTGCCAAAAATAAAGGTAACTTTTATAAAAACTACTAATTCCAATTTTGTGTAGTTTAGGCTGAAATTAAGATTATATATTTTTGTATGAAAAAATTATGTTCTTCCACGGCTGGCAGTAATGACTACTTGGTCAAATTTTAAACACATCTTTAGAAGACTTCCTTCTTCTACTATGATAATTTTTATAAGTTTAAAATACCTAGTCATCGAGAAAGGTCGAAAGCTGCCGTTACGCAATCGAAAATCACAAAACAACACTAGGTTATGGTGAATCCTTAGAAACCAGTTTCACTAATGCAAAGTGAAATATATAAAATTTTTAAAAATATCACACTTTCGCGTTGGTAATGAGGCGTTGATCAATCTAGCTGAAGGCAAATAAGATAAGTGATTGAGTACATTTTGACAAAACTCAAAATATTTACAAAAAAACTTTATTCGATGGTAAAATCCAGAAATGCTATAATGTAAAGGGGATTCTATTAAAAAAAACGAGTTTTAACACTCTTCTGACAATCTATACATTATGAGAGTAATTTTAGAAACTAACCATAATAGCATTTCAGATATCCCAGAAGTGAAACTTTTTGGAAACCTTGTAATTTGACCACAATATTCCGTGCTTCCTTTCCAATTCGTAACCAATTATTGAAAATAAGTATGAAAAAGTATTGTTAATAGACGCCTTTTTTTGTTGTTTGCCACAATAAAAGGAAAATTACAAAAGTATTAAAAAATATATATTACAATGAGCCATTTCATAAGCAGTAGGTGTTAACTGAACATCCTATATAGGTTTCACCGTTAATGTGACAAGGAAGTAACTGATAATGACACTTTTAAAACCAAGCAGCTGCCTAAATGAGATTTCATATCTTTTTTTTTCCTACGTCATAATGAAGAATAATGGTTTAATTAACATATTCATAAAGTCCGAACGTTGATATTTCAAATTCGAGACTGTATGTTAAGTGGATGATTAACAATTAGCACACCTTTTTCCATAGGCGTTCAGATTTCTTAATTTGCATTGTCAATAGAGTAGCTAGAACTAAGCATTTTTTTAGATGCATACGAGCTAGAGCGATCGCAACAAATAATATTGTTCCTGAAACGCTTCCAAAATAAAAGCTGAGCAATCAATAATAATGAAATCATTCTATGATTTGGGTCAATATCGATATATTCATAAGTAAAAAATCACCCAAGTAATAATTCACTTCATTACTTTTGTGCGCCACTGATATGTGGCTGAGGTCGATATACGATATACTTTTGTGGTTTTTACCTATACATCCGATTCTTTGATCTTAAATTATTCAAAATGTTTATCTCATATAGTCGTGAGGTACCAGCATAGCCGTCAAATAACAGTATCAGTTTACAGTATAAAACTAAATGACGGCCAATGTAGTCAGTTCTATGGCAATTAACCGGTTGCAAGATGAGCCTTTGCTTTTTGATATTTGGGTTTTCATATCTCTTCAGAACTGTGACACTTGCCAGTGTTTATAGTGATTTATTGCATAATTACATGAATGAAGCGGAACTAACTTACTATTTTCAAACGGCAAATAAAAACGAAGTACCTTACTACGAAGTAGTTTTTTTGCCACCAACTACTTGGTCCAGCGATGACAATTTCACATCAAATGAAGTTATTGAATACAACTTCTCAGCATTTAACAGGTGAGTTTATCCAGTATGAAATACAATACAACACAATATCCCTTAGATACTATGATTCCTATAAGCTATAATTGTTGTCCATGCAAGGTGTGAAAATATGAAATACTGAAAAACTAATCATGTAAATTATTATTGATATTTTTAAACGCTTTACTGAATGAATTTGTACAGTAAACATGGATGACAACTAAAAAAGTTTTATAAATCCATTTTATATTAGTAGGTAACAGTAACATTAACTTCGTTTGGAATTAATAGTTTGCAGATTTTTTAGTTTTAGTATTTCGGCAAAGCTTCACACATTCGAACTGTTAGCATACAGACTGAATGTACAGGATGTAAAACGTTTCGTTTCTCAGATACAGACACTTTCAGTTATAACTAAGTAGTTATTAGTTAGAACACAATGCAACTCCGCATTTTGCTATTTCGACACAACTAAAAGAACGTTTTATTTGTAGACTTATAGGCCTAAAACTTAAACGAAATGAAAACATCTTGGGTCCGTCCTTCAAAACTTACATCCACGACGAAAATGGGACAAAAATGTTAAAAAGCGCTCCATACAACTGCCACTATCTTCACGTTGATTCGGATACAGTTGCAGCGATTAGTTTTTGCCCACCAAAAGCAATGGTGAGTGTATTAGTAATGTTTTAAAATCCCATGAAAGCAACAAAACTTATGACTCCACTTTTTGTTTATTATCCATTATTACAATGGAATTTTGCTTGGCATATTTGCGACAAACAAATACTACAGTCATAAAGCCACTTTATATATATATATATATATATATATATATATATATATATATATATATATATATATATATATATATATATATATATATATATATATATATATATATATATATGCGCATATATCTATAAATAACAGTTTTTGCAAACGATGTTATAAAATAATAATAAATAATATAATAAATAATAATAAAATATACAGATTGGTATTTTATTAACTGATTGTTTGCTTATTTCCCGATAAAGTAATATTTTGAATTTCTTTGCCTTGGAAACATATATTTCTGATTTTTTTTTTTTTAGATTTTGTTAATTTTGTTGTATTAAAAGTTCTGGGTAACTATATCTATTATTAATATTGTTATTTCCTTAAATCAATAATTACATAAATAAAATTTAATATCTATGTCCGTAAGTGAGGAAGGGGGACTTAATAATATTTTGAATGAGTTGGCAAATTCGCGATGAAAAAAAAAACAACATTAACTCGGTTATAAAAATATGTTTTTGTAAAAACCAGTTGTTAATGATTATTAATCATAAATTGTTGTTTAAAAATCATTTTATTCCGTATTTAAAAAAAAAGTTGGGTTTTCGGTCGTATCTTTTAATTATTCAGACTGAATGATTAAGTCAAGGGCAGATTTTCATATATGTTTTTATTTTACCTTAGCAAGGATTGATTTTTCTGGATAACACAACATTGGAAGTACATCCGTTATCTGAGACATTAAAAAGAATACGAAAACGGCACGCAATAAGTGAATCAACTTATGATAAGCAAAATGTTCCATATCTAGTAAAAAGAGCGTATTTCGACAGTAAAGCAGGTTATGATGATATTTTTCCTGTTTCTGGGAACGTCTTGATTCAAAATCAAGACATTCAAGAGGATTTCGACGACATTCTTGCAAATCCCTACGATTATTATACGATCACTAGAAAGCGTCGGACAACTTTAGAGCTGGCACTGTTTTTTGATGAAGCAGCATACAAAATTTTTGCTCCACATTTTAATTACGACGACAGCGCACTTCAAAACATGCTCCTGGCTTACATCAATGGCGTAAGTCACTGTACCAAAACAATTATCCGTCGAAATATCTTAAATTAATTTAAAGGTTCAAGCCTTATATCATCATCCAAGTTTGGGAACATCGCTCGAACTTGTTTTAGTGCGTTTAGATGTAATGAAAATACAACCAAGGGCGATGCCTCACTATGGCGGCGAAAGAGGTAAATTACTGGATAGCTTTTGTTTATATCAAGCCAGCATTAAACCCGAAGGAGATTCAAATCCCGAACACTGGGATATGGGATTATATGTTTCAGGGTAAATGCATATAAACAAATATCTTTAAATCTTGTTATGGCATGTCTCCGGATTTAAATCGATAATGATCCCAACAAATTCAGAGATTGATTTTGCATCGATTTAACATTGTATTACCCAAAGAGTATAAGATAGAGGGGAAGGCTCCCATTAATGGCAGAGTTAATAAGCGTACACGTACGGTTCAATTCAATTTAAAGTTTGAAAGGTAAAATTAGAAAAAAAAAGTCAAAATAGTTTCAATTTTTTTTTTATTAAAATATAAATAAAGTGCTGTTATCCATTAGTATTTTCAGTGTGAAGCATTACTTTAAACCGCCATGATAGTACTTTAGTACTTGGACACAAATAATAGATGGCATTCGTAACAGTATACGCGACCTTCCCCTCTATCTTATAGTTTTTGGTACTACCCAAAAACGCTTCCCAAAGAAGCTATTCCCTAAAATAACATTAAAAAACATAAGCCGCAAAACTAAAATAAGACCGGTAAATATTATTTATCTATAGGCTAGACTTTTACGCTTACGAGAACGGACGTAAAAGTGGGGTAACGATGGGTTTGGCTACAGTAGGTGGAGTTTGTCTCGACAAATATGCGTGCGTTATAGCTGAATTTGGGACAACAAACGCATTTGGAAAACCATATCCAAGCGCAGGATTTACCAGCGTTTACATACTAGCGCATGAAATTGGACATAAGTAAGTAGGTACCTATTTATATTTGAGATAAAATTTTCCAGATCATAGGCTATTGCATTAAAACATTAGTTTACCTTGCTGCTTAATATTCCCTTTATAAATCAGTATGAATAAACTTTACCTATAAGTCTAGGGATGCACCATGACAGCACCGGCAATAGTTGTCCTAAGGAAGGTTACATTATGTCGCCATCTAGAGGCGTAAATGGCGAAACTCAGTGGTCTACATGTAGTGCACAGGTTATGTCTAACTTGGGGTAAGTCATTTTTCCGATGCAATCGAGTCCAATTAGATACACGCTAATTAGAAGTCAAGATAAGGATGTACGTAAAATTGCACTGAGGCATTTCAAATTTAGTTAATGTGGAAAAATAAAAGTCGCTTCACAAATGGCCAGTATTACGTATTGGCAAATATTTAGTACTTATTATTTATTTGAAAAAAAAAAAAAAAAACCGAACCGTTGAATTCTCATAAATTCTAGTGCATTCTTATTGCAGTCTTTGGGGTTTAAATTTTGTGTACAGTGTGATCCATTTAACTTTAAAGCACCATTGAATGAGTGTGCATTTTTAGTCGATGTCAAAATAGTTTGGTTTTTACTATACTAAGGATGTATTATGATACAAATCTTTATAACTTAATTTTCATTTATATGGAAAACCTTTATTAGACTTTTTTTCAACTTTCATACACCATCAGTTTTACAAGAATTGACATATTATTTACAAATCTTCTGGATTCCTCCTGCGTTGGTTGCTTATACACCAAACTTGTTGACGTTTCGCCTATCATCTTGTTGACTTCTTCAGCTCTGAACTGAAACTGACACACATCCTACTCTGTACCTGCTTATATATTGTTTGAGGGGGACGGAGCTAAAGGAGGGGCATGAACGTTGTCTCGATGTAGAATGCGAGCCAGTTTCAGAGCTCTGAAGAAGCCAACAGGATGATTGGCGAAACGTCAGGAAGTTCGATTCATCAACAACCAATGCAGCCTAGGGAAGTTTGTTTAAAAAAATAAGAATTGCCATAAATTGAAACACCCACTTTTCAGTTATTAGAAAAACAAAATTTTGCAGAAAAATGTACTAAATGCAGTCATCTTTTGAGTAACAATTGTTGGCTTACTCTGTGCCCAATATATTTTATTCCAAAATTCTAGAAGAGAAAGGACATATTTTATGAATTTCGGGTGTGAAGATGAATCCAATGGTGGACTACTGAAATTTGAAAAAGAAAACCTATACTTTTTCTTTAAAAAAAAACACTTCTTTGAAAATACAAAGTAATTTATGAAAATTTCAAGGTTGGTCATAGGATACTGCCTCCAATTCAAATGGATTACACTGTACATACATTTTTAGATGGGCGAAATGTCTTCTAGATTCTGGAAAATCGACATACTCAAAAGATCATAGTCGATTTCTGGACATTCCGGGGCAGGTCTTTACTGCGAAGAAGCAGTGCGAAGTACTGTTACGAGACAAAGACGCTAAAGTTTCACCCAGTCAGGCGCTATCTTCTATATGCTACAGCCTTCAATGTAAAACCCCAAATAGAAGCGGGTACTACCTTGCGGGTCCGGCTTTAGATGGAACCCAGTGTGGCAACGGGAAGGTACTGTAATATTTTGCACAATAGAAAGAAAAAAAACTTAGTTACTTTAGCTGTCGTTTGTAAAAACAGTTTGATAAACTCTCGTATTGGACGAGTTTCACTTTTCATTATTATTCTTCGTTTTTAGTATTGTTATGGTGGACAATGTGTTGCCAAACAACTCCCACAACCAGCAGAAGTTGTCTTAGGTGGTTGGAGTCAGTGGAAACGAGGATCTTGTACATCTGGTTGCATAGACAAAGGCAGGGGTGCATATATAAGCAGGCGTGAATGTAATAATCCCAAACCAATAAACACAGACCAAGGATGTGATGGACCAAATATACAATTTGGTTTTTGTACTGACAATTCGGTAAAGAATGGAATATAATATACGCGATTTTAAATTATTCAGACTTTTACTAGATATGCAACAACAAAAGAAGAAGCCCTGTAGATTATGCATCTGCAAAATGCAAACAATTTTCGAAATTGTTACCTGAACTTGATCCTAAAGGTATTGGATTGCAATCTCCACATGAACAAGGTATGTTTTTTTTTTCAAATTTCGTTTTCATTCTTCCTCTCCTTACTTACTCTTGTTAGCTCGAGTTTGGACCGGATGTGCCATTTACTGCAAAAGAGCGGACTCTGGAGCTTTCTACACACCCAGGATTGAATTAAATGACTTAGGAGTGTCACCCTATTTTCCTGATGGCACTTGGTGTCACAAGGACTCATCAAATCTCAATTACTATTGCGTTCAGCACCATTGCATTGCCGAGGTATAAATTACATACATATTATGTTATGACACTGCTATCTAAAATTATTTTTAGAACATTAAGTTTACAAAAAACCATCCAATTGATTTAAATGACATACCCTTTGCCCAGAACGCTCTGCCTAGATTTAAGCTACCCCAGCAAGTGAAAAACTATTTTTCATTAGATAAAAATGGAAACCCCCTAGAAACATCAATAAAAAAGCCCTTTGATATAATAAAAGAAGAGGATTGGGAAACTAAAGATTATGTGGAGTTGCCTGATATAAAGAAACGCTTTGAAATATTACAACAGGAAATGAACAGCTTATATTTTATTTAAAGTGACTGTATTTTTATACTGATTAATAAATTATTTTAGTGGCGGTATGATTTTCTATTACAGTTGTCATTAATTATCCAATTTTAAAACTTTTTAAGCATATGCCGCTATGTCCAGACATCCAAATTACGTTTTTTGTAATCAGCAGAAAATGATATTGAAATTACATTCATAGGACAAAGGCTATTAAAATTTTATTATTTATTTATTATTAAAAATCAACAATTTTCTTCCAACAAAGTTGCCTACTTATATTTAATTTTAAGAAATCCTTAAATTTATGAAATTTGATTTTGTTCTCTGTGGTTAAATTTCCCTTATAAACTTGATTTGGTTTTTGGTTTTGAAACTTCATCCCAAATTGATATTCCATCGCATGCACATATAGTTTTAGGGTTTTGGAAAAGTCCAGCCGATCTTGCAATTATCCCACATGTGATAGGTTTTTCAGTAGAATTGTTAATCTATAATTAGAAAAAGAAATAATACTGAAATTTTTTGAGATACTTGTAGCTGCTTAAACTGATGTATAGAATTATTTCCTAACTTTTTCTAAACAAAACTTTGAACTTTAATATAAAAAAGAAAAGACAGATAAATAGTTTACCTTTGCTTTAACTACAAGTGACCTTCCAATGAGTTCTGATAATTTTATAATATGGTCTTCAAATCTAAAAGAAGCTCTTCCATTTTCTTCAACACTGATAGAACCTAAATCACCATAGACCCTATCAGTTTCATTTCCAAGGTGCATTATATTTCCAACACTTTGACAACCTAAAAATGTTGACATTCCACAGAAGTTTTTATAAACAAAATAAAATTGTTGATATTATTAAAGGACCTTTTGATAGATCTCCATATTCATGGACAGCTAAGCTGTGCGACACTGGGTGTAAACCATCAATAGTGCCATCAACAATGCAAGTATCTCTGTTAATTTGAACAAATCTCACAACCCCCTGTACATCTCCAGTATTCAACATCGAAACGGCCGATATGCTACCATCATATCCTTTAATTGCAACCTTTCGCCCTGTCGACTCCAATGCACTTTGTATTTGAGGTATTGACAAAGTGCTATCAACCACAACCGAACCGGTAGAAAAATTTATTTCTACATTGAGTACCCCATCTAGATTTGCTAGACTGTTTTTTACTGCTTGCACACAGGAGTCGCAGGTCATTTGAACTAAAAATTCAGTTTTTACCGAAGACATTTTTAAAAAATGCAATTTGCATGACAAAGCGACAAATTAAATTTCAACTTTTTATCACATCTGTTATTATATTCGATCATTGACGTCAGATTTATCTTATTGTTTTTAGAAAAAAGTATTAAGTTTCGATATACGTTCGCGACAATTCAATTGATCTTTCAAAAATTCATATTCCATTTATTGGTTAAATAACAGACAAATATTGTGAAAAATTAAAAAGGCAATATCATTTCTTTAAAATATAAAGCAGAGAATATGCGTTTTTCTTTAGAGTGGTATACGCAATAAACTTTCTGACGTTAGCAAAATCGACCTAAGCACTAAAGTGAAAGGCGCTCAACACTAACTGATAGGAGGATCTATACCGTCCATTGAGAGCGAACGCCTTTTCTTGTGGTGACGTTCTCTAATCCTCTCGAAACAGGCTTCACCCGTTACTTTTACTTTACTTTATAATGTTACGGTTTATCCGTTTCATATTCACCATTTTGGCTTTAGATGAAATATTCATTCTACAGGAAAAAATAGAATTAGAGACAGAAGTTTTAAATCCAAAATTGAGTTTTTTTTTAACTTTCAATAAATTTAAATTCAAGTCAATTATACATTTTTTGGATGGTGTCGGTAATGGGCAATTGTGGTCGCGCCTCTCACATTGTAAAATTCTAAATAGAAGAAGAATACTTCTCCGTTCAATTCAATTCAATTATGCGTTTCACAAAAAATTTGGGCTAGACTGCTAGGATCATTCGCCCATTGAACACTTCCGTCGAGGATCTTCGCTTTTGGTTATGGACCATCACGTATAAAGAAGACATATAACCAATATTTGCTCAACTAGCAAAAAACAATTTTGACCGATACCATAAAAACCGACACCCCCCTGCTTCCACCAGGGACCATCCGGCCTCCATACCGGCGTCAACGGGGAAAAGTGAAGGGATCGGCGACGATTATCACTTTAAAACGTTCACTAAACACTGAAAACACTAAATCCACCTAGTGGAGACCGATTTCAAAAATTTTTTGGACGATTACAAAGGATTCTGTAGGGAGCGAACGGAGGTTAAACCGCCACGTGCAATGCTTCACGACAGAATGTACTTTTCAGTTAATATTTGAATCATTTATCTTCTACGGTTGGGCGAATGATCATAATGCTTTTGCTCTACTGTTTGTGAAACAAATTAAGAAGAGAAGAAAAGTCTGTGGTATTTTGTTTTTCTACGAAAATATTTTTCGAATTGGTGATATGAATAATCCAGTCGATAAAATCGAAGTACCATCCCAAAATGAAGAAACAAACAAAACTATAATACTTAAACCCTCCAATGGTGAGGAAAAACAGATGGATGTTTCAGAAAGTTTAAAACCAAAAGCTCCTAAACCAAAAAAGCGAAAGAAGCCAAAAGATAGCACAGCACCTAGACAGCCTTTGACTGGTGTGTGTATATAATAAAGCCAAAGTTTTAGATTTCCAATGGTTTTTTAGCAGAAGGTACAGTAATAAAAATTTGTTGCAGGTTATGTGAGATTTTTAAATGATAGACGTGAAGATTTTCGGGCTGAAAATCCTTCCTTGTCGTTTGCGGAAATTACGAAAATGTTAGCTAGTGAGTGGAGTAATTTGCCATCAGATAAGAAACAGCAATATTTAGATGCTGCAGAACAAGATAGGGAAAGATATACAAAAGAGTTTGAAGCATATAAACAAACAGAAGCATATAAATTGTTTACTCAGCAGCAAAATGAAAAAAAGATGAGAGATTCCAAAGACAAAGAAGAGAAAGCGTCAGTAACTGCATCAAGTGTAAGTATTTTGTATTTATTTGGTTGCTTTATTTTTTGATGATTTGCCAACGACTTTGAAAATAAAATCACCAGTCACCATTATTAGAATTAGTAATAATTCTACAATGTGGTTTGTGTTCTTTAATGTAGTTTAATATTTATAGGTAGTTTCGCAATCGCAACCATTGCTTCCAAAAGATCCCCATGATATGGAATTTGGAAACTTTGATATCCAGATATTTACGGAAGAGTTTCTCGACCACAATAAGACACGTGATGCAGAACTAAGACAACTTAGAAAGATCAATACTGATTATGAGCAACAAAATGCTATACTCACAAAACATATTGAAAATATGAAAACTGCAATTACCAAACTTGAAGCTGAAATTATGCAACAGGAAAAAAATAATGCTTCCTTACAACAACATTTAGATCATCTCAGAAACACTCTTACTAGTGGTTTTGGAGGTGTGAAATTACCAGGTATTGTTTTTACATATTATATTTGTACTTAAACCCAAATATAAACTTTTGATGGAAAAAATCTAAACCTAAAAACAAAATTTAAATCTTGAAATATTAAACTTGAGAATTTGATTAGTTAGTTAATTATTTGCAACAGACTATTTATTCATCATAATAATTGCAGAGCAACACTGCTAATGAAAATAGGAAACGATTCATGTCTATTATGTTTTAAGCAAAGAGAAAATGTTTTTTAGGTGTTAAGGACATGGCTACTCTTCAAAATATAGATAACTACATGACGAATTTACATTCCATTTTATTGGAAAATAGCAGTCATGACACACAGTTATTGCAGACAGTTCGTGACATTGTTGCCAAATTAGAATTTAATGGATGACTAGGACCCAGATCTTCTAAACGAAGACGCAAATTAAAAAAAAAGTTGTAAATTATTTAAGTTTTGTATAAACTTTTGATAATGTTTTCTGGACAGAATATTCTAAGCAGTAGTTTAGCAAGATAGAAGTAATTGTTCAATAATGTTAACAGTGTTGCTAAATACTACATGAGTGAGTACTGCTCACATACTCATTTGCTTGAAATAATAAATTTTATAAAATAAAATTTATTTCTAAATTCCTTGATCAAGTACATAATGATATAATTTTCAAGACATTATGGTCAACGATGAAAAAAGGAAGTTTAGTTTCAATCTGCATCACAGGAATTCTGGAATTTTTTGGGATTACTTGAAATACTATTTGTGCTCACCATGATTCTCGTGCGGTTTACCTCTCGGATTAAAACAAAACCGGAAAAATCTGTAAGACACTGAAGTGTTTTGTCTAATGCATTGCCCTGTTTCAAAATTCATTGGGGCAATTTTTTTTGCTGCTTTTATTTTATACGGAAATTAAGTACAGGGAAAAAACAATTTAGTCTGAAAACAAGATTGTAGACAAAATGAATTTGTTCTACTCCATACTTTAAAATATCCAATTTGCATTGCCGTGTGCTTACGACGTCAGCTTATTACAAAATTGTCGTAAACCGATGATTTTAACCTGGTCACACACGCCACAAAAGTAATGATCGTAGAAATAGTATAGACACGTTTATAAACTTTTTAGCCAATGGTTTATTAAACAGTCGTTTCTCTCTGGAATAAAGTGGACTTTTATCAAGTTACTTCCACAATATACCATTATTTAGGGTTTTAAATCTTGCGTTGCTATTGATTCGCGGTAGGTATTAAATATCTTGTTTAAAGTACCTTTAATAGAAAACGACAGCACACAGCTATCGATATTAACTTTGCGTTTAACCCTCCACTGTGTCACAAATCAACCAGTTCTGTTAGTGTGACATATACTAACCACAACCCGACTGGGCAATAAACACTTGCCAAGCGGCAGTCGTCTCATCATTAATTTGTTCATCCCGCCATCTTTCGGTTATGGACAAAGATAAATATAAAATATGACACAGTGGTTGCGTCTTTTTTGAGCATGTGTAGTGGTATCAGGTCTGAGACCCATAATTTAAAAAAATCGTAGATAAATATGAGTAACTAAAGTAGTTACAGTATTACTAACATTTAATATTAGAAGGCATGTTCTATTTAATTATTAAATAATTAGAAATTATTGTAAATTATAAGTAATCTTAAAAAGTCTCTATAAACAGCGATTAGCGCCCATGTATATTCAACTATGAGTGTAAAGTGGATTTTTGATGAGATCAAACATGGTAAACCAATTATCACATGTGATATTCCTTCCAGTTCCAGATAGATATTGGTCAAATAAGTCTTATTACAACATTAACTGAATCATTTGGGAGGTATCGACCTTCAGTTTGCATATCAATATAGAGCTCTAAATTTATAGTACATTGTATCTTAGCATCGACAAGGGCAAAAAATTCTAACCCGCAGGTACTTACTAAGTTTAGATGGGATTTATTGTCCCGCATCCGCATCTACCTCGAAATCCAGCTTCCAGCTTCTTATCAATTATTTATTATCAGTTATTTACACAAAATTGGAAATGAAGATCTGTTCGTAGCCAATTTGTCCACTAACTTTCTCTTCTTCTTGGTGTCGAAATCATCAAATTAAATATGTCCCAATAAAAAATTTAGGTCTAAATATTGTAAAACACAGTAAACTGCAAGTCGTAAAAATAAAAATTTTCTAATCCCGTCTGTAAAATACCTAATTACCTACCGATATAGCATGCGGGAAGCGTCACTTTACCACGTCAGTTTTATTTCCCACGGATCCGAGCCACTTCGGACATTTCCGGTATTTTACTGCACGGATTTTGGAGCAATCGGATGATTTCGGAGATATTTTCCACGAATTGAGTTTGTTGTTTGTCAATTCTGACGGCCAGTGAATATATTCGTGTTGTTTGAAAATGTACCCAAAATGTGCCCAAAAACTAACGTTCGTAGAAAAAGTATAGTATGCAACACATTCGGTAAAATTTTTAACTCACTCGTTTATTAAAAACTCGTGAGTCAAATGCCGTTTACCGCACTTGTTGCATAATATACTATTTCAATGCCACAGCACTGGCGCCAAGTTCACTACACCTAAAAATGTGAGCTATTTGTGTATCAAGAGATCAATGTGATACAATTGCCGCTCTAGGCAAGCGACAATCTATGTCGCGTAGTTGTAGCTTTGCAGAAAAATTTACACTTTCTTATGGAAACCTGACTACTTTAATAGAATAAAATATGGTGTCTGACGAAATAATCGAATACCATGCATATTATGACGATACCCTGCAACATTCTTTGACGTATAACATACACTATCGGACAAAAGTAGGGCAAATCCCGATTTTATAATTATACATCCAAGATAATGTAAAATGTGAGTAAATATAAGTACAAATATGAGTACATCAGTTTTAAAACTACAAAGTAGGCTATGATTATCGGCGACAACAAGAATTTTCACTAACAAAACTAATGAATTCATTTTGACATTTAGTTTTAAATGTCTAATAGTAACGCGTCAATATTCAAATAATTTGTTCAAAAGACGTAATATGTTTTTTTGACCATTTATGTACTGGTGGATTTGGTGGACTTGAAGCACAGAGTTGTAAAGCATTCATGGAAGATAACAGGTCAGCCGATATTTCAAGACAGTTTTTGTTATCACGGTACATTGTAAGTAAAATAATTACATCGTATAATGACAGGGGACACTATCGACCGATTTGCAGAGAAAAAAACGGCCCGAAAAAGTCTCTCACCAACACAATGTTTAAATTCTTCTAGTTTTCCCTTTTAAATTGGGGAACAGATATAGAAATAAAGTAGGTTCAATAATGACTAGTGCAAAATAGAAATTAAATTCTAGCAACTCTAGTCACTAAATAATAAGTAGCAGTACCACGCATTAAGATATAACACCTCACAAGCAATCGGTAGACACAACACAAGTTATTATTATTAATGTTATTATTATTATTATTATAAAATTATTATTGCCATAAAATACAAATACAATGTTATAAGACAAGACCAATACATCCCACCAAGACAATAGTTTTCATTCTACAAGAGTAACCTCGCATATGGCAAATAGTCCATTCATACTGAATACTTCCCCAGGAGACTATTAGTTAAATAAAAACTACTTGGACAACTTAAAACTATACCAAATTCTAGCCTCGAAATGATTTTTTTAAATCCTTGGTAGAACAAAATAACTAGAAAAAGAAAAGAAAAAACATTAATAATATTGGATTATTTCCCAGGTGAATAAATTATAACTTTGAGATGCTAATTTCAACCTAGTAAGCATACAAAATAAATGAAGATACAAAAACTAGAAACGAATCATAATAAAATAATGGATAAATGGATCAAATTAATAAAGTTGAAATTATTATTATTACAGTTTTAATAAATGTTTTTGAACTGATTTTAAATAATGAAAATGTTCTACTGTTTGTGAAATTGGTCTATAATTGGAAAATGTTTGATTTCCACCTGTTTTAAAAAAGGGTTTGACCACTTATTGCTTTCTTAAATGATTCTGGAAAACGTCCATTTTTAATAGATTGGTTTATTAAATTCTTTGATATATTCTGAACTTTGTTTTAGAATTTCTGATCTTAAACCACCTCACTCCGGTGTTTTTTTTAGCGAGTTTGTTACTTTTATCACTTCAATTGTATTTTAATATTAAATTTAATTGTCAATAATAGTTTCCACAAATTTAGATTCGCTACATTTTAATATTTTCAACCAAGTTTTTACCGATATTACAAAAGTGATCATCAAATGGTTTGCCATTTCTTGATTGGCGTGAATTGTACTGTTATCAGATTTAAAGCAATTCCATACTTTGTGCTGCGGAATAAAATACGATTAAATTATCGATGAGACAGAGAAAAAATATGAAGAACTACAAGAACAAGAACATCTAAACATCCAAACAGGCTTGTAGTAAACGATCTAAAGGCTGGATATATTTGGTCCGAAAAATATTGTTTCCAATGAAAACATCATCAGATGATAGCATAAAAAAGTTATAGCGCCGATTAAGGGAGGTCGATCGTTAATGAGATGATTTGATTAAATCCAGAAAGTCACATACGCTCAGTAACGTTGAAGGAATAATACGCAATACGAAAAGGTTTTAATTGGGTGAAATTTAACTTCAACATTTCAAATTTGTTTTTTTTTTAAATATCTAAATTGGTTGCAAGCGAATCACGTTAAAAATTTGCGTTTATATTGAAACGTATTTTAGCATTTATTGCATGCTATATTCCAAAAAATATATGTTTGTAGACAATAGCTGTTAAAATGTCGACAATTTGAATAGGCAATAAATTTATACATATTTATGTCTGATAAAATTGAATATTTGTTTATATTCAGATTGTAAATATATTAGTCGACACATATTAATTGTTGTTATTAAAAGGTAATATTGACAAACAACCTGTTTTGTGTTTTATGAAAGTATTCCAACAGTTGACCACAACTGCCGGTGTGTGTGATGTCGAAACGTGGAAAGATTGGGTATGGGAGCAATCATTATGATCACCGAGTAAGCAAACGTGGAAATATACCTTGCGTAATGTTACTAAATTATTTTTAGAAGAGCGAAGAAGTGAAACTAAAGCTGTCAAAATAATAGTGTTACTGTTGGCTTGTTACTTTTGAAAAATCGATGAAATCGAATTTTTCGAAAGTATACGCGCATGGCAACGAATGAGGGAGCTGAAGTTTTGCTCCTTTTAAACTGACCAAGACACTCATAAGCGCGTAGAAAATGGCTGGGATTGCAAATTGGCATCTGTTTTTTTATTATTTTTGTCTGTATTTTGTACATCGCTATGAAACACGATAAGTGTCCGAAATTTGCAGCTATCGATTTCAATATTGGCACAAATATAGGGTTTGGATCCCACGGATCTATCGAAATTGGGTGGCTTTCGCGAAATGTCAACGAGAGGCGTCCGTATAAGAGCACGGGAAGACAGGCGTTTGTGGCAAACTCTCCAGCGCACATTTTATATTCGACCAATTGAAACAGTGAATATGATTTATCACCTCGAACAGGTAACAACATCGTCGACAAAGTATTTACGGTAATTTTCATCCGCATTCGCTGACACTACAACTACTGCTATTACGGTATTATCTTTTCGCCGGAAGCGGCGAACAGATCGATACACAAGCGCTCCTGTGTTGGTATTTTTACATTACCATATACGCGACTGGTTTGAATTATTTGCCGAAAACCATTTTTCCCAAATTACGGCCTATAACTCCAATAAATTATTTAAAAACGCGGAAAAGTCACGCATGGAATAATTTACGGTATCAATAAGCTAATTGGCCTTTGCGAGTGATGGAGTTTCCACAAATTCTACCAAATAGGTTTCGATCTGTTTTAAATGAGTTGCTAAGGGGAATTCAGGCCTGTTTCAATACGTTTGAAATAATTTTTATTTGACATTTTCTTTTAGTTTTATGTTATTAGTTCGTTGAATTAGTTACTAAAATTAGTAATATATGGGTGGGTGTAATAAGTAGAGTTCTCCGAACGATATACGGTTTTACGATATAATCCGGTATTTAACTTTGGTAAATTTTTATCCGGGTCTAATCGCAGGCCTACCTCGCGTGGGTTTCTCTTTGTAAGCCTCAATAAATAAATTTGCAATTCTATAATGAAATTCCAGGACCGTAATTCGGTACTGTAAGTGCATACAAACGCTGAAAGCTGACAAATTTGTGTAGAGTTTAATCGGTGACATTCCGGTGAAAAATCCATTCTTACTTCACAATGTTTATTATAAATACAAATCAAGAAGTAAATTTTGCTATAAAAAAGTTATTCTACATCAAAATAATTACTCTCGTCAATGGACTCGCCCGCCACAATAATTTAATTCTGGCACTAGTCGACTTCTGTGAACATTTTTTTCAACTAGAAGCAGATATTTTTTTCACTTCATTTCTAATTAATTTTATTGCTCCAGAGCTAAATTTCGGCGAGGTGTTGTTTTTTCTGAAGCTAGGTTTCAGCTGTCTCAATTGGCCACGAATTTTTTGGATTTCTCTCAAATATCTTTTCCTCCACTCCGAAATTCTTCTTGATTCCATCAAAACTTTTCTCTTATTGATGGTTTTGTAATAAAAACCAATTCTTTCTACGAACGCACGCAAAGTCTCTTGGCAACAGTCAATGTTCAAACCACTACAACTCTTCATCTAAAGTTATATCAACCGTGTCATTATTGCGGCATCGTGCACCATACGGTGTTTTAGTCATCTTGGGCGTTAATTTGATGGTTCCACTTTCCCCAAATGTCGATTTCAGAAACAGAAACACAATTAAAATTATAATTTCGGCAGCAACCGGTAAATGTGTCTGGTGGACGTCGCAAGTATGTTAGTTTTCAATTCAATTGTCTGACAGACAATTGAATAACAATAAGTTGGAAATTACTAACTACAAACACAAGACACACAAGAAATTGAAATTTAAATCGAGCTACCTCAAGTAGGCATTCTTTTAGGGAGATGTATAAAAAGCATATTAATATGAATTAATATTACAGTTTAATAAATGAAAATTTCCCTGCTCTTAAAATACAACAGTTCTTGTCGGCGAACATCTTAAATATGGCTCTGATTTGTGGTAAACGTGCTGTACAAGCGGGTCTAAAACTCATTCTGAAGTCAAAATCATAAAAGGTTGTAAAAACGGTATATCGATTGGACAACTCTACTATCTCCTTTATTTGTCAATGGTTTGAAAAATAGTTTTCATAGATGTTAAATAAAATTAAAGGATAAATATTTTAAAACTATTTTGAATTACACGCAGATAGCATTTGTAGTATTATTTCAGATTTTTATATATTTAATGACCTCCTGATATCGAAAAAACGCCGGACATTAAAAACTTTCGGCAGTATTGTTGGCGCTCTGCTTAGTGGTTTGAAATATCATTTGCAGATTTGGATGAAACAAAGAAATAGCATCGCGGCCTCGTCATTTCGACATGGAACAACGTCCGCCATTAAAAAGAACAATCCGATTTCGTAGGTCTATTTTGTAGGCGTGCTCTTCGCCTGAGTGGAGGCTTTTGTATAGCAATCCTTTTAAGGGCACAAAAAGCATAAACCTTCAAATCGCTTCGCAACACACTAAATTATATGTATATTTTGGCCACAGTCTACCCTTATCTTGTCGACGTCAAATACACTAAGCAAGCCATTTATACCCTCTTTATTGTATGAGTAATGTTTTCTGTTAAGTAAACATTGCCACTACGGCCGTGTCTCTCAATTTATCGTTTTGTCGCCTTCTGGTAGAAGAAGAGAATTTGCATTTTTTTAAAGCCCTACTGTGTTGGTGTTACTACAATTAAAAAAATATTCAGCATCTCTTCCTAGGTTTAATAATAAAATAAATAAAATGAAAAAAATAGTAAATAAATAATTATTTGTAATTCTTAGGAAAAAATAAATATTTCTAAAGCCAATTGTGCAACAATTAATGATGAAATTCGTTCTATTCCTTGGAATGCTTTATTGACATACAGTGATGCTTTTTACAAAACTTCTGGATTCCTCTTGCGTCAGTTTTGGCGAAATTGCTGACGTTTCGCCAATCATCCTGTTGGCTTCTTCAGAGATTGACTGAAGCTGTCATTTCAAATTTCGACTAAGCAAAAACTGACTCAGGAAGAATCCAGAAGTTTTGTAAAAAGCATCACAAGTAGCCTGTGGAAGTTTCTTTGAAAAATTGACATACAGTGATGTTTGTCGTAACCTCGACTGTGTTTATGAAAAATTGTCAGAAATTGTAGTTACACATGTACGAAAAATCAATATAAAAAAAGGAAAAATCCGAATTTAATAAACACCACTAAAATTAATACTATACGTTATCTCTAAACCTACGAGAGTTAGAAAATTTAAGTACAAAAGTTGTTTCTATTAAAATGACATTTACATTTTTTTATTTTTCCAATCGTCACTTTTTTATTAAATAAAGTTACATTTTTTTATATAGAACACCCTAAATTTTATAGCATTTGAGGATAGTCCTTTCAGAGACAAATTCAACGATATATATGAGTATGGGTCTGTGATGCACCGTTTCGAACTTATTATCGATCATCTTCAGAATTAGGGTTATGTTTAAACCATCATTGTTGGGTTGCTTATTAACTTTTTAAACTTCTTTCCATCTATTATTTTTACGAAAATCATGCTTTTCTCTAGGCAAAATTAAAAAAATTTTCTTAAAATACGCGGTGTTGCCACGTTTCGCAAAATGATACTTTTCTCAATTTTCTTAAATGAGACACCCTGTATGTTATTGGATTTTCCACTTTAATAGCAATTTCAAGTATGTAACATAGTACGGGTCTCTGACTTACCGTTTTGGCTTAATTGGCAGATAAAATTAAAAACTGGGTATAAGGTTTAAATTATGAATATGAAACTGGGAACTAGCTCCTTATCACAATGTTGCCAAATTTCGAAAATTACGTATTTCTACGTTTAAATGTCTACGTGAAATGATTACAAAAAATTAACATTAACTACTAATGCATTTTGCTTACAAGTAAAATTAATTATTTTTAATTTAATAAAGACACGGTGTTGTCGAAACAATTGTCATGTCATAATATATAATTTCGTGAAAATCTGAACTTTTAGTTCTTATTTATTTTGATAAATGGATTTTCATCAAGTTCAATTTTTAAAATTAATAAAATTAGTCTTTCAATATGTCCGCCGTTCTGAAGAATATAATTAGTAATTTTTTTTACTTATGATGAAACTTGTGGATTCCTCCTGCGCCGGTTCTTGTTGACTCGACCTTGCTGACGTTTCGTCAATCATCCTGTTGGCTTCCTCAGAGCTTGACTGAAACTCAGTTTGGTCAGTTTGGGTATTATTATGGATAAGTGGCCGAATGTCGCTCCTTAATAAGTTTTAATACCTTACGGATGTTAAATTTGGTTGGTAAAATATGGGTCCTAAAATTCTAGATCTCCAGAATGCGCACCTTCGCCCTTGCTTGTTTACCTGCTTGAATAACACCGTAGACGTCGTAAATATTGATTCATCGGTTCAAATTATATTTTCAAATATGTTATCTAAATATCATTATATTGCAAAATTCGAGTCTTAAGTTAAAATCGGCTTCTTGTAGTTGTTGTACTAGTGTGAATTAAAATGGCTTATAATTGTTAATGCTTAAACATGTTTGAAGTGTGGTTCATCTTACGTCTACGTCTGAAGCGGCAAGGTCGGTGGAGGTCTCTGGAGTATTTTCAAAATGCAGAAGAATTTCTAGCTGTATATTTTCATCCAAAAGCTTTCGGCTCCTACTTTTTTTCACTAAAACACTACCATTTGTTCTAAACTGTTGGTACTTTGGCAAATATTTTTTTTCTTGGCGATCACCTATGGGGAAATTTGACTCTGAGAGCAAGGGCCGGACTTTTGTTATTGGCGATGTAAGATTCTAGTAGGTCAACTTTTTCCTCCTTCGTATACCTTATACAAAATAGACTCAACAAAAATGCAACTTAATAAAATAAATACAAAATAGTGGAAGCCCGAAAAAATACACTTAAAATATTATAATATACTGATACCTGTTAAAAAATCAGTAATATTACCACAACCGAGAACTACTATTGTTTTCAAAGCTACTTTTGTGTTTGTGTCTTTCAACAGGCAGGTTTCTATATATTTTTTAAAGACTCGTGGTCTGTATTATTAAGAAAATGATTTAAAAAAAAATTCCATTTGAGTATTTTATTTTATTTAAGTATTATTGGAAAATAATGGAAAATTAAACAAAAACGGTAAGTCCTAGACCTCTACTTATCTAATTAAAATTGCTATTAAAGTGGCTATTGGAAAATTTAATAATACACAGGGTGTCTCATTTAAGAAAATTGAGAAAAGTATTATTTTGTGAAAACGTGGCAACACCGCGTATTTTAAGAAAATATTTGAAATTTTGCCTAGAGGAAAGCATTATTTTCGTAAAAATTATAAGTTGAAAAAAGTTGAAAAAGTTAAGAAGCAACCTAACAACGATGGTTTAAACATAACCCGAATTCTGAAAATGATCGGTAATAAGTTCGAAACGGTGCATCATAGACCCATTTGTCTTTGAAAGAACAGTAGATATATGTATGCTTGGGGACATCCCCACTCCTCTCCCTTTTGTGGGCGTATCCTCCTTCCCCACGACTCTCTAGCTCCTCCGCCTTTACCCATAATCCCTTGAAACTGGTCCCCATTGGATAAGCAACCAGAAATGCGGTTTAATCAATCTCCCCACCTCTAGTTTGCGATGGCGGCGAAGCCAATCAGAGCCCAGATATTTTCCCACCCGTATGAAAAGCAATGGCGTCAATGAGACTTGATCATATTGTTCGCGTGACCATCTGCACCCTCTAGCGGTTCGAATGTAAACTAGTGTCCCCTCTTGGAATAAGATTTTCTTTAATAAGGTAACCCCACCTAGTGAATATTGACCAAAACATTTATTTTAAAAACATATAATTCTGCGAATGTGTACCCTCGCGGGTACAAACTGTACTTTTATTGCGCACAAAGGACAGGGGAAATAAAGACGAAAAGTGTTGGATTTCTTTTCTCGGAACTGGAAGCTGGCAGGCACCACCAATAATATCTGCAAAACAAAAAGCTGGTTAAAATTTTCATTAATAAAGTAGGATATTAGAAACCATATACCTTTTTAATTAATAAGCCATCTACCGTGCGTTAACTTCATACATATTTCCGCATGCTTCTGTTTTAAGGTATCGTGAAATATTTGACTATTTATCTGGGAAAAGTTCATATGTCGAAAATATTATGTGTATGTGGCCGTGGTAGGCTTTCTTTGCTATTATAATTTTATTTTTATTATTTAATATTTACAAAATTAATTTATCTATCTTATTGATGATTTTGATTTTCTTTGCTATTTTTATTATTTAATATTTTCAAAATTAATTTATCTATCTTATTGATGATTTTAAGATATTGCAGTCAACTTTACTATTTCATCAATTTCTTTTATTTATTGCTGATCTTTGAGGATAGTGTACATACTTTTTTTTGTAACTTATCTGTATCTACCCTTTAATTTCCTATCAAGCCATAAAGCAATCTCGAAAGGCATCTTAACTAAAAAGTCATATACTTTAAAGCTGCTGCGACTACTACTACATGAAAGTGTGTTTCTATGGCAATCTCAACAACAATGAAATCTGGACGCTTATATTAAATACTGTAATACTCTTCTCTGCTAACGCTCTAGGAGACGCTATTTGAACCCTGTTCAAAGAAAAACTTCTACAGCCCAAATAACCTCTCTGAACCACACTTAAGCGCATCACTCTTTCACTGTCTTGCAGCCTTCAGATTAATATTCCGTACTAACTACGTATGCCATACACGAAACGTTCTCTTTTCTAATTTTTTTTCTATGCGCTACATTAACGAACAGGATCTAAACTTTTCTGTCTGTGTATTTTGTTAGCCACCTTAAAAAAAAATTAAAAAAAAAGGTATGCGAACCCAGAGGATATTTTCCATATTTTTCACAAATGGTGACAACAATTAATGCAAGTATTATTTTTAATAATAATCCATCTTTCGCTATGACACGAAAACATCGACTTTTTAATTCTAATTTTTCTCATAGAGCTTCCCTTTAGTCTCTATCTGTTCTTTAACTAAATCCCCACCTTTTTGAAAAACCAACCTCTAAAAATAGTTAATTTTCTCTAATTTAAATTTGTACGTTTTCCGCAATATGTGTGAATATTTTCGCTAGAGCATTTAGTTACTTAGTACATGTCCTAATCAATATTTTAAAAATATAATTCTAATGATACGTGTTTACGATTTGAAGATAACGAAACATTCCCCAGTTTCATAAATGAGAGCTCACTGCCAAACTACCAAACATCACAGTACAAACTACCGTACTACGCCCCCCTGGACAAAATCAGGTCAGTCAGCGTCATTAATTCTACCTGCGTTAACGAATAGCGTATTGTTAATTAAGGTTTAATACGCAGAAAATTTAAGTAACAAATAATCGCAATGAAACTCACTAACATCATAAATTATTAAAAAAAAAAATTAGAATAGTTGGAATTTACTGGAGTAACCAATTTGGCACTAAAAATGGAAATTTTCGATACTCTACTAGGTGCCTACAATAAATTTTACTATTATTTTTAATGCAGAGACACAACGATTTTCTAGTTCTGAATTTGATCAGGGGTATATGACCATAGTTTACGCCGACTCTAAAAGGCATGCAGTCTATTGTTTTTGAACGCCCCATTTTGTGTATTATGTTCAAAACAGAGACTCT